TTTAAATCCTAATTTAACTTTTTTGTGTATGTGTTATGCAGAATTTTCAGACACTGTGTTTGCTGCGAGTCCGAGCATTGGCCTGTCACATAGACTCAGTCTTCGGCTGATAAGATGACATAGTTGTGTCAGCTGATCTAGTCTTCCCCCTCCCCTCCATGCTAACATGGCACCTCCTTATCCTGAGTCTACTTCCACTGTACAGCCTCGGGCCTCCACAGGAACTAATTCCTTCCAAACTGTGACAGGCAATAAAAGATGGCGGACACACACACACACACACACACACACACACAGGCACAATAGATGTGCAGTTGACATGCAGACCAGTCACAAGATGAGCTCCAAATCATCAAAGCATGATACAGTGAGCCATGCACACACATTGTTCTTTCTGCCCACACCCTTTCTCACACCCTAACTCTGCGTTTACGTCGCTGTTTCAACTACACACACGTTTGCTCTCTCTTGTCATTATTACTCACCTTTTTACAACACGTCTTATCAGTCTCATTATGGTACTTACACATTTGTGTTTACTGTCCCTGTGGTCACAGCTGAAGGACCTGGCTGTTGCTATTTGAGCAACAGATGTAAGGGCACCTGGCACAGGGTTGCATCTGCGTCTGAGCAGCTCATTGAAATCTGCTGGCGTAGTGCCAAAGTGTAATAAAGAAGTGTTTTATGTGAGGATCTCTGTGTATGTTGATTTAACCAAGACTGCAGGATTTTCAGTCACAATTGGCCACATGTTTAGCAGCTACATACACCTCATTACATAAATGGTGAAAGAATACATTCAAATTGACATTTTTATATTTTTTGTGAATGGCAATTCTTTGTCTTTCAGGATAAATGAATGTGTCATGTGCACAGAGGTTTTCAAACATTATAGCACGCTCATACTTATTTTTCAGGCATTTTCCGCTAAAAGCATAAAACAGCGTTACGAGTTAAAGATGGTTTGTGAAAAGATCTTTCACAAACCAACTCCTCTACATCTAGCAAGGTTTTCCTGCCCATAGGCACCGTTTTTCACCTTCCCAGAGAAACCCAGTACAGCCTCAGTCCTGTAATGTTTGCTATTGAGCTTCTCCACTGACGTAAGTGGGTATCAAGTGCCTTGTTCTGGGGCATCCCTACGCATAACTGAGGCAGTAAAGTTTTAGATTTTTAAACCATGTCACATTGCCAGCTCATGGGTTTAACAACAGCTGCTATGTGCTATAAAACAATACAATTTTAAGCTTTCACAGGCCGCATATCTGCTGAAACAACATACCTTATACATATGATGATATGACACATGTTTTACAGAATAATCTGATATTGTGATTCACCACACCTCAGTTGCTCCTTTGCAGGCCCCCCTCCCTAGATAGCCCAAAATCAATTGATTATAGGTTAGGAAGAGGACCTTGGTCAAACCTTGGCGTTGGTTTCATTTGGGTGCACATCAGCCTTGATTCTTATTGGATTGAAAGCCATTAGTGGGCCATTCAAAAGCCACCCAGTAGGGGCTCCATTGGTGTTTAGCCCTTCTATGACCTGGCCATAATGGTCAATTTCTAGCACATGAACTATCTACCCTTTGTCCTATCTCAACCTGATTAGCTGGCTCATTAGCATTGTTAGCCCAGCCTTTGTAACAAAGTCTTTCACCCGATGGAGCCCATTGTCTTCTCTGGAAGGAAAAAAGGGGATTACAACTACTCCCCAAAGGCTTGGTTTTAGGCAACATTTTCTGCTCACCTCCCATAATCAGTCTGCTTGTGTCTTCTGAATGCCACTTGTCTTGACGAGAGTGTACCACATTCAAGGCTGTATGAAGTTTGAGGAGAAATCTGTTGTAGTCAATCAGTCACTCAGTTTATGGTGTTCAGTTTCGGTTCACAACGGGTTTTGTTTCGCTTTCATTTGATAGGGATCATTTTGTTTCGTCACAAACATTAAGGATAATGTGAGGTTTTACGCTGCGTAATGTATAAATGTAGGCGGCCTAATAGTTATGGTTTAATGGGCTGCAGTCTGTTTAAGGGCAGCTTGAACTTTTAACCTGATGATCTTTGACCTCTCTTTAAATACCAACAGATGGTTGGACTGTGTATTGGGCAAATTAGATTACTCTCATGATCTGTGCTTTACTGTGTTGGTGCATATTTGTAGCGTGTATATTTCCCTTGCTTCATCTATCTTTGTGACTTTTCATAGTTGCATTGAGGATTTTTTTTTTGTTGTTGTTGTTGAAACATTCTTAATTTTTAAATTGCGTGTAGCTTTACTGATTGTGTCAATCCAGTATTCAGGGTAACATAAAACTCAGTTAATGTTGCTGCTAAAAGCTCAGTGACAGTCTTGGCAGGGTTGTGTGTTTTTCTTTAGGTTACACCATGTGTCATTCAACGTGTGTGTGCCAAGTAGAAATCGCTCTTCGAGGATAGGAAGCCTAAAAGAAGCACCCCCTTCTCCCGAGGAGGTCTTCTGCTCTAGTGTGTCTATCTGATTGATTTGCACAAAGGCATATGTGCATGCATACTTCTGGTGTGACTCGCCACTGGTCTTGGATCACACCACTAATGTCACCAGCAGGTCCCCACCCCTAATCTCACAGGAAGTGTTGGCACGGCTCAGCTGGTATAATGTGTGAGAGGCACAATCTTGAATGTTGTCCATACTGACTTACACTCATAAACTCGCATATAAAAGTATTTGAATTGATGGAAGAGGCTACCACAGCAGGGTCCTGGATGCCAGCAGTCCGTTAAAGTGATGGATGTAACTGGATGTAAAGATGCATCAGTATTGCTTGTCGAACAGTATTTTTCTGTGTTGAATGACAACATCTTTCTGCGATTCATTTCTCTTCTGTTGTACTGCTGATTGATTTTCTGAAAGGAAATAATAAAACTAAATCGATCTTCTAAGCAACTGACTTAAATTTATAAACAAAAGACTCCTAATTGTAAAAAGTCTATCTCTTGCAAGGTTTTTTTTTTTTTTGAGCCAGTTTGGCAATTTGGAAATTATTACTGCTAAACTAGCTCAGTAAAGGGTTTTCACACTCTGCCTTATTCTGTCACTCAGTCTACAGATCAAGTGCCGGACTGAGACTTAGCATGTGACAGCATTAAAGCTCAGAGGAAATTCCTCCAGAGGATGAGAACTAAGAGCCATGCAGAAAGGGAAAGAGGAAGGTGCACTTGAGAAATATGGAGTTTCATTAAAAAGATGATTGACTGCAGCATTCAAGATATATCAGCAATTTTATGCTTTTACTATACTTGGTGCTTAGTCCTATACAGATGCAGAAGAAGGGCTTTTTTTATTTCCGAGATTGCATGTTTAAACTGGTCACCTCCCCTGACTCGTCACAGATTTCTGTGTGTGTGTGTGTGTGTGTGTGTGTGTGCCGCTGTTCAGAATACTGAATATCACCTTTCCACATGGGTTCTCGCTTTTGACATATGCAGAGTTCCAAGGGGGCATCGGCTTCCTCACTAGTTATGTCAGCACATGACGTGAGCGCTCTCGTCAGCTGGCTCAATTGGCAGGTATTTCGGAGAAATCACCCAGACCAAGAGGGGGGGCTAGAGCCTCAGCCGGCTATATGTAGTACAAGATGAGCTCTTCCACAGAAACGTTTCATTGGGAGCTTTTTTTCAGCATAGTTAAATAGCCTAGCAGATTCTTTTGTCTGAGAATTCTTTTTTCTGAGTTACCAGTTGCATTTTCTAATTATCCAAGTGGGAATATGATTTAAAATTGAAACTTTTCTCCTGACTAATTAATTGTGTGCCATGATTTAAAAAGCACTGTGTTCCACGATGTAATAGGCTTTGAGGTCCCCAAGGAAATGAGGAGCCTCTGTGTAGACACTTAACTTGCAGTTCCATGCTAACTTAATGCAAACAGTTAGCGCTACATATTAGATTAGATAACTTGTTGTGAGTTTGAAGGACATTAACAGTTAACTGAATCGCTGTGGATGTTTAAATCGCTGAAGTTAGCTTGTTTAGAATAGAGCTACAGCGATTTATCAAACTATTAAATGAATCACATTTTTCACCATTTAGACCAAACAACTAATCAATTAAAAAAATCGACAATGAAAATAATAATTTTGCAGCCCTAGTTGAGAAAGGTTGTGATATTTTTGTGCATGTACTTGAGCTTTGCATTCTGCTGACTGATTACACTCACTCTTAAAATGCACTTAAAATACAAAAGATCAGCTTTCTTTTTAATTAGCTGTTTTCAACTGTGCATTTAAAGCTCAGTAAACATTACTCAGTGGGGCTTGGAAGTATGATTTGTAATATATTTTCTATGTAGATCTTGTGCAGTACAGTTTTCACTGTAGGGAGTTGTAGTAGTTTTTGCTTTTTCTGCAGATTAGTGATAAAACATGAGCAGCACGAGGTTAAATCCTTTCAGCCCAATCAGGAAACATCAGGACACCCCAGCATCCTCAGGAGTCCTCTCTAAGTAGTTCTTTCAAGGTTTTCTCTTGGTTTTTCTGATGAGATTTCCATGGGAACTGTCCCTGTCCTCAGTTTTTTATTTTTTTTTTGCCTAACCGTGAATAAAAGCAACACAAATTAAATTTTAAAAAAACATCAACATTGTCTTTAATATAGTTTGAGCTAAAACAATTCATCTTTTTAATCGGCAAATATTTTGATTATCAATCATTTCCACGAGGTTCCAGCTTCTCATTTGTTAGTATTTTCTGCTTTTCTTTGTCTTACGTGATAGTAAACTGAAACTGGATTTCAGACAAAACAAGAAATTTGATCAGTAGATTAATTGATAATGAGAATTAGATAGTCGCAGCCCTAAATGTATTATTACATCACGTTTCATCATGTAACTACTGTAGTACAAAACGGCACAGTACATTGCAGCGAGAATCTGAAAGCATTCTTTTATTACATAGGGTTATACCTTTTTAGCTGAGCGTCGTGCTGATTCACTCTACATATTGCTCTTATTTCTTTCAGCAGGGAGAAGTGGATGATGCTTAAAGGTTTCCTAGGATTACCGTCTTGCAGCAATGGCCTGAGGGACTCTCTGGACTGAAACCAAGGTAAGAAGCAGAGCCACAGCCAGCCCTCTTTTACGCAACTCTACTGTGCAATGTGTCAAAGAGACGTTCCAATCCAAATGCAAACATCTAAACAAGATTAGACCTCATGCAGCATTTGGTTTATTGGCTTGTGTCGTCATTTATACTATATCTTAGATGATTTATCTCATTATAAGGGAAGTGCATAGATCATAGTTTTGATATGAAAAACCTCTAGGCATTTTTTCACAGCCATCAGATAAGCCACATAGTGAGAACTTTGTTACATGTTTACATAATGCAGTTTTCCATTAATTAAAACAGTGTTTTAGGTTAAGGGTCTCCCTGACTTGTGCAGATGTTACTGTAAAATGGAAGTGCTGAATTCTCTCCACAAAGTTCTTACTTGACTTTTAGTTTTGGTAGTGTCCAGATCTAGCCATTTTGTAAAAGTGAGGGCTGCATCCAATAGTCCCGTTGGTCTGCAGTGTTCATCCATCTTGTGTGGAGAGGGGAAAAAAACTGTTGAAATCACCATTCCTTCTGTGAGGTTCCTTTACAGGTTACAGTTCAGATGGTGTTGGCTAGAATGTGTCTTTTAGGATTACTGTATTGCCAGCAGTTCTTACAACACCATTTTCTGAGTGGACTTCTCTCAAAATAATAGTTTGCATTAGCTGACATGAGTTTGGTTGCAGTTAATGGACTTTGTTTTTGTTAACGTTGTAAGCTTTTGTCTTGCTGTATCAGAATATGCGCACCTTTTTTCTGGTGTGCAAAATCCTTTTTTTCGTCTGTGTCATGTAATGTGTGTTTTCAGAGTCTCAATCCAATATTTATGTTGTCCTATATTATATAATATAGCTAAGGAAGTGCACCCATAGCTTAAAGGTGACCTGTAGTGAAGCTAATTACATTTCCTACAGTGTCCTGCATTGTTTTGTATAATATCTATTGAGAGTTGAATACTTTTATTATATCAACAGCAACTCCTCAGAGGCACAGCACATCTGAAAAATGCAGTATCTTTAAAATGTATTTATTTCCGTAAAGCAGTTTTGCACTGTCAATGCCAGCATCATTTATTGAAACAACAGACAATAAACAAAGGTTTACAAGTAGATATGTGGCATTATTGATCAATTAACAATACCACGATTAACCCTGATGGAGGATCTCTGATAGAGATCATACATGGAGATGAGCTCAGACTGTCCCTATATTTAACCTTTATACAATAATCTGATTTCCACAGTGACAACTGAACCTCCCCTGGGGCATTGCTCTCAGCCACAGATGAATTGTTGACTATATTGCTGTGGAGAGGTGCTTATTTATACCAGTTAATCAATTTTGCCATCCGTTGACTCTTTGTCTCTCTTCCCCCCCATCTCTGTGGTTCTCTCCGACAAACCCAGAGCCCAGCATTCTGTGCTTATTATACAGAAAGCCCTCCCCTTCCCATCGTGTGACATCCTGAAGTGACTGCCAGCGTTAAAGATTCATGAGTGTGATCGTCTTTCAGTAAATGGGGGGCCTGGCTCTTGGTTGCACTCGGGCACTTTAGAGCCATTACCTTGCAGTGATTCTAGAGTGGACAAGCTCTTGAGTCGGAAACAGGCAAGGTGCATACCTTTCTGTGTACAACCTCAACAGCAGCCTGTTTGTGTGCTGTCATTTTCTGGACTCATACCATTTGAATGGAGTAGATTTGCTTTGTGTACTGAGTAGGGCTGCAACAGACTATTTTCTTTGTAGTCTAATCTGTTAATTATTTATTCAATTAGTCGACTACTAACGATTATTTTTGTCACCCCCTAACCCTAATTAAACCATTTAACTATCTTTCAAGTGAATTACTGATCTCCACCACACAGCCTAACTAGCTAACGTTCCCATTAAGCGAATGAGGCTTACTATTCAGAATGAACACCAGTATCAACGCCATGGGGAAACCAGGGAAGAAGACAAGACAGCATTGGCTACTCCTACAATTCACTGATTTATACAAACTTTAAAACGTTTAACTGTTTAACAAAGATTGAACTGTACACTAACAATGCATAGTCTGTTTAGAACAATAAAGCAACAGCCCCCTTTCATACTATTTCTGTAGTTTTATTTTTCAGAAGTGTTTATAAGTTTTAGGCTATAACTCAGTGGAGAATGTTCTGCAACCTACATCACGAGCGAGATGTTCGTTGATGTACTTTAAACCATTACTCATTACTAATAACTTTTTTTAAAGCTGGTTCGCCGACATTGCCAGCGTTGTGTTGGGCATTTATGCTGCGGTGTTTACGAGAGAGAGAGACGAGCGAGAGGATGTGCTGCGCGACTGCACTACGGCGCTGATCTACAATCAAATAAGATTTTAAATAGGCCTAGTAAAATAAAATAAAAAAACGAAAATCAGTATATGGCAGTCAGCGTTGATACTGTGGCGGGCCGCCGCAAATAAATGAACGTAAAGGAAACACTGGCTTTCCTCTGTCTCTGCAGCTCTGCTGATGCTGCTGCAGTGGTCTGAGTAACTGGGACCAGGCTCTGTGGGCGTGACTGGCCGGCCGGCTGGCACCGCTAACCTTGCGGGCGCTTGTGGAGCTTCTCAACCCCAAAAACGTTTGAGCGGATTTTCGATTCGCCATCAACTTTGGTTAAACTGTCAATATTCAAATTCTACACATTTGATTTCTCGCCTCAAAAGTGTATTTAGTAATTAAATAACGTACAAAACATAAAAACGAAAGCCATTCAGCTGTCCGTTACTTTCCGCTTCTCGCATGAATGCAGACCAAATGCAAATTTAATCCACACAACGCTCTCCTCGCGGGGGTTTTATCGCTGGACAACTGCTGAGTGTTCACACACAACGCGATAACGCGAATAAACACAACTGGCCATTACTACAGCTGTATGAACCCAAAGTAAACATTTTGCTGTGATTAAATAGCAATAAACTGTCAAACTGGTGCCGAAATAACTACAATATGATGCAGATTTATGAATTCATGCTTTGTCATGTCTGTCAGCAAGACAGCAGGGTTGTCTGAATGGAGTTCGGATCGATCAGGGCTATGCTATGCTAAGTTGGTCACAGTAAAGTACAACAATAGCTGGAATAAAGTTACATACACATGTTTTCTGAACTCACCAGGTAGTTCAACCTACTCGCTTTCTTTTTTCGAAGCAATGTCTAGTTTTGTCCAGGTTTTTATATAAAAATGAAGTAGTGCCAAACGACACTAACAACACTGGAACCGGATGTGCACGGAACCTAGCTGCTGAGAAGCTTAAGTGAAGATAAATCAACGTTGTAATCCCAAAAACTAAAGTAAAAAGCTAATTTAATAAAAGCAGTTTACTCTGAGCTCCTCCCTCGAGCAAACGGCGTAGTTGTCGGAGCAGAATCCAGTCCGACTACGGGTGTTTTTGTCCAAAACCTGGAGCACTTCTCCCTGCTCCTCTCCCCCAAGTTTAGCAACTCTCAGCCGGCCAGCAGATTTTCAGTCGCCTGCTCTGTCTGGCCCTCACCACACAGCGCTCTGAAGCCGTCAGTGACGTACGGACAATCTCAACGCTGATAGGCTATTGCGACTCAGCGTCATGCGAATTTCTCGCTTGAGTTAAAAATATTAACTCGCTTGCCTTCGCGTCGCCGGCACCGCCCTTTTCGCGTTGCTTCGCACAGCCTGACAGGAAATCGTGGCTCTACGCGTCTTTGCATTGACTTTGTATGTAAACTCACTGCCCCGAACGCTCGCTTCGCTTTTGGTTTGAAAGCACCATTACAGTCAAGCATTCATGGCAGACAGTGGAAGTGTTACTGCCCCGAGCACTTTCTGTAGTGCATTGCAGTTAAGAACATTTCTGGTTGTTTGTTTCTAATATGAAGATTGCTATCTCTCCCTTAAACGGCATCTATGTAACGATGCGTCGACAATGAAATTTCACGTCAGACATCGTCGATTACGTCGACTAATCGTTGCAGCCCTAGTACTGAGTAACCTAGTAACTAGAGGGGTTTAAATGTCATTTAGCTGACTTGAAGTAAAAAAGAGTGGGCTTGAGGAGATGACTGAAAGTGAATTATATGCACTTATATAATGCAATGCAATTTGTGCTTTAGCAGTGCTGTATATGGAAATACAGTGACACCCAGGGTCTACTGAACACGTCGTCATACACTCAGTGAACCTTCACTGTGAAAAAGGCCCATGACCTATTTTTTTGTTCTCGTTGTTTCCGATCTTCCTTCACCGTCTCTACACTCTGATCGCTCATATTCTCCCCTAGCTTGCTCTTTGTCATCAGCCCGATCCCCCTATATGTTCGGAGTAACAGGCCCGTCACTCAGGTCTTGTTAAATTCAGCCAAGATTTAAGGTTTCAAAATCACATTGCTCTTAATCTCTCTCAGTCCATCATCACATTCCGTCCTGCATCTCACTGTGCTTCTCCCTTGACCAAAACCTAATATCAGAACATCTGGTTCAAGGTAACAGCTGCTGTCAGCGAGGCCAGAGACCCCCACCCAAGTTGCATTCTGTTGAAATGGATATTGTTTTAAAATACGTGTTTGTCTTTAATACCATCTGACATGGTTCTAGCATGTTTCTGTGTGTTTTGGCTCTCTCTGCACTTCTTCTCACCCTTGCAAATATTGAGACGTAAAATGAGAAGACATGAGTCCTCTGGGCCCCTCCCCTGTCATGATTTTGTCTTCAGTTTGGGGGGAAATAAATGGCCCATGTTGCAGCCCTCCAGAAGCGATCTTTATTGGTGCGCTCTTGTTCTCCAATTCTCTCTCGGGGTCTGTTGTGCCAAGAAGCAATGTGAGGACAGATTACACACCAGCCAGACATTGTTCAGTGCCCCTCCATGGGTTTGCTCTTTCTGGAAGGGCCCTTATTATTATTATAGTGCAGGAGACTTCAAACACTTCCCCCAAAAACTTTTGATGCAGTTTAATGCACAGTCATGCCCAGCACTCTCTGAGCTCCAGAAGCACTGGGTGTGTCT